AAAAAATCTCGAGCGCTTGCGCGAGGTATTTTTCTGCAAAACTTGGCACGATGGTTTGTTTGCAGGGGAGCTTGAGGGAAATACCCGATTAATTTTGAATCTCGGTACTTCGAGAGGGGGTGGAGGGAGGATGCATAATAGGGGAGGGTTGAAAATTTCATCCGACAAGGGGAGGGGGTTCCAGAATCTATCTGGAAGTGGAGAAAATATCCAACAGGGCGAAACGAATTACTCTATTCAGATAACGCATTTTTGATTCTCGTTCACCTCGTGTCAATAAATGGGTAATTAGTTTATTAACTGTACTGAGAGGCTGAGCGGTACTGCGACAAGCACTCTTCGTGGGCAGCAGAACTATCGGGCGTTAGTGCTGGGTACCTGTTTCTCAGTCCTTGAACTTTTATCAGCGCACTTTCCGAACGATACACGTGAGTTATTGGTTGATTATTTTTTCGCTGAGTCTATTCGCAATCAATGTCCAACACTGATTCATTCTCGTGCTATTAGAATAGTATTGGATACAATATGTTTTTATATCTTTTATTATTCACGAGATAGAATGCATTGAGGCTGTCCAAGGGACTAGGGTATTTTTTCAGAATTATTTGAGTTATTTATTTTATTTTGTAATTATTTTTATGTGGAAAGAGGAAATGTTTTCAAAAATAATTTTTTTCATGTGATTTCAACGGAAATTGGAGAAATTTTTATTGAGTGACAGTTCCATTGAAATTCTAAACAATTTCGTCATTGAAAATTGACAACTTTATGGAAAAATCATGAAAATTAATTTTCTAGTTGAATTATTTCGTGAAAATCAATTGAAATCAGAAAAATTCAGCTAATCATATTGTTAATTGTTATTAAATCAAATTTCTGTTCATAGAATTTCGATTATTTTCTAACAGTGCATTTAATTCTTTATGAATTTGATAAACCTCAAATTTTAATTCGTCATATCAATGAAAATTTTTTGAAAATGAGGAAAATTCAGCTCGATCTAATTTTCATAATGAATCTTAAATTATAAGTGAATCAAATTCATTCTTATTGAAATTTTCGCACATTTATTGCTGATGAACTTTATTTTCCCGAATTTTCAATACGAATCAGGATCTGTGTGAACAATTTCATGTCAAATTCAATTAAAAATGCGAATGTTGCAAATCCGTTTTGAAAAAATTAAAGCAATCAATATATTGCAATCACTTCCTCTCTCATTCCCCCGGAAATCGTTGAACCAGTTTTTTCAAGTGAATCTCGCAATCGCAGCCTTCTTAATTATCCCCTCATTGGCAACGTAATTACCACTAAGTCACACTCAATTCAGGGAGCTCTCTCCACCAAATCCGTTCATCTCCATTCCAATTTTCATTTCATTGCCGGAGGCGAAACGATTCGAAGGCCTCGACTGCTCGTAAAAATTCCCAGTTCTCGATGTATGATTCCCCGCGACTGCATAAACCATTTACAAGTCCCAGTGAATTGCCTCGGTAAGCGGGCATTTTCGGTCGTATTTTTCGATTGACAAATTGGGAGGCAGGAGGGTCACCATTTTATTTGAGACATTTCTCTCCTACTCTGACAAAGGAATGCCACGCGAGGGTAATAATTCAACTGTCTCAAGTATCTCGAGAATTGATAAATGTTTTGCGTGTGACTCATTGTCACTTATTTGTACTCTCAGGTTTCCCCATTGTCGACTATTGCAGTGATAAACGGTAGTGAATTTAGAAAAAAAAAATCAGGTGGGCTCCTGGCGTATCCGCTAGGAAATTTCATTAGTTTTTCGTTATAATAATAGGAAAATCCAACATATTTTAATTTTTCTACACAAATTATTCTATTGAAACTGGTTGCGTATACTCTTGAGTTTTTTTGACAGAAATTTTCGATAGACTGCGAAAATTTTCGTTATGTTATAGTTCCACTGAAATTCCAAGGGATTTTTTCTTTTGAAATTCAAAATTTTATGAAATTTTTTTTTTATTTTCCCCCCCAACTCCAATTCAATGTCACTCACTTGTACAAATCCCTCGACCTAATTATTCCAAGATTTGCGGCTCAAGTCTCTAAATATCGGATTTTTATAAAAAAAGATTCAACAAAAAGAGTTGTATACAAACATCACAGTCCTTGAATTTTGTCTGCAAAATACTTTTGCAGTAAAACTTTGAATTAAATTAGCAAAAAACTGGAAACTTTTTCTATAGAATTTCCTAGAAGACGCGTTGAGTTCATCTACAATTTTTTTCGTACATCTAGGGTAGAAATAACTGTTTACCAATGAAGAATTTCCTCTTAAATTTAATTTTTTTGGTTATGCCAATGAAAAAGTGAACACATTTCCGGAATTATTCACAACGAACTATGACCAAAATCCGCCACATGTACTTTGAATTCAGTCACGAGTCCAACAATCCCATGACTAAGTGAAAATCAATAAAAAAAGAGCCAAACAATCGGAGATAAAGGACTGGATTATTGAAAAACACAAGTGGAATAATATTTTCAATTTGAACAAAGTTAAAGACCGAACAAAGCTATATTCTCTGTCAAATTGCTTCGTTTCACCTTGGCCATGCACTTTTATCAGGTACACAGATAACCAGTACACATTTCTGCTTTATGCAATACGCAACGGCCTGTAGAGGAATACAATCCATGCCAATTTTCCGTCAACAATTTTAATTTTCCCCCAATTGGTGATAGAGCACGCAGAAGATAATACTCATGATTATTTTCTCAAATTCTTGATGATTTCTTCGACCTTTTTCTTGTTAATCACGCAGTGATTTTTTTCTTTGGTTGAGAATATCCAACATTTCATGTTTTCCCCTGAAATCCTTCGTTTTTAAACAATTACGTTGCTTCTTCTGTTGAGGAAGATTTATAAAATATTCTAACCCAGCAATTTTACTATTTATATTCAATTATTCACTTATGAATCATTAATTAATTCCATCGTAAATTGGTGATTTTGTACAAAAAAAAGAAAAATTTAAATGATGTTCATCATTTATTTATGAGAGGGCAATGTTAACCTTCTGCAAAATGTTTCATAAAAAAGCTTTTTTTTCATTGAAATTCTTTCTTTTTAAACAATTATGTTGCTTAAAAATGATGATTTTCTGCAAAGTTTTCACGAAATTAACAACTTTTATAGGTGATGAACTTTTATTGCTTTTCCAATCACACAATTTCCAATTTTTCCCGTAATATTGTCCTCAATCCAATAAAACTAGGCACCTGAACTCATTCAGCATCGCATTGTTTCCCTCTCTTACTCCCCCGTGCATTTGTGCCTGTAGTTAAATTGATTATTATAACGCAATGTCTACCAGCGAGTACCTGGAACGCTAAACAAGAATTTTATAAATGTCAAATCATAATTAGACGCCGGGGAAATATAAATATCGGGTTTTTTCTCCATTTCTCAGCAAATCCCATTAACTATGTGATTGGCTTCGACGTCGTTACGTTCACTCCTTCAATTCGCGTCTATTTTCATCCACTGAGGATGATTATTGTCAATAGTTAACCAGAAAAATACTAGAATTGAGGAAATACTCGGTTCTGTAATTTGAGCCCACGAGCCTCTGCACATTAGTATTAAAAAATCATCTGCGATTTGATTTTTCCATCTCGTTAGCATTACTGTCACCAAACCGCGGAATATCTCTCATTAATAATCTATTGTCAGCACAGTATTTTTGCCCCGTGACGCGAACACGTGTCAATGTAATACTGACAAGTATTCTGGTTGTTTTGATGATCAAACGTGAGAGGATAATTCAACAGAATTGATTTTCTTCAATAGCAGACAGAGCCGATAATGCATAATTGATGAATGAGGTAATTCCATTATTCAAATTTGCAATGGAAATGATTTTCCCAAGTGCTTGAGGAAATTAGGAAAAACTATTCATCTTCGAGCTGAAGCCAATGGCTCAGCCAATCTTTCCTGCTGGCATAAATAAATCGGGGAAATCATCGTCAGGTTTCTCGTTTTATACTCTAATTGACAACTAACTGTAATTGAGTTCATCACTATGCGGCAATTATAGTGATTTTCTCCTTCGGGATGTAGCCAATGAATGAAGTTGAATAGTTCCTGTTTGCATGAATAAACATTGGAGATGATTCTCAAGCTGCAAAGTTCACATTTTAGTTGACAACAATTAATGTATTAGAAATTAAGTGAAAGGATGAACGATAAAAGTCAGTTTCGTATTTTTATTTACTATCTTTTCACTTCGGAAGCAAGTAATTGTAGGGAAAATATTGCCATCAATCATTGGATTCTTGAATATTAAGAGAAGTTGAACTTTACATTGATTACTAAAATAATTGATAATCTAAATTTCCAATTGAAGATGAATTAAATAATTGGTAATATGTTATTGTCAATTGTTTATTGCGTAAATAATACAAAATTTCGTAAATAGGATTTTCGATTGTCCAAATAATCGTCAATCTTCCCAGCTAAATCATTGATTGATGAATACTTTTTTGTACTTTATTTTTTTTTTATGTAAAAAAATAAATATAGTTCTATAAAAAAATATATATACCATAGAATATATGTATATAGTACATAATACTTTCTTCACAATAAAAAAGAACGCAAAAAGCAAAAGAGAAACGGAGAAGAAGATGAAGAGGATTGTAACGATTCCGAATAAATTATTCAACAATAAAATTTTCATTATGATAAACTTCATTGAAACCATTCATTTTTCCTGCATTATTATTGAGATAAAAATTAACGAAGGTGAGAAACGATCAGGTTTTACTATTCTGTCACCCACGAAAAACATTACGCGCGCGAAGCGCGCGACGTGTTCTAATTCGTTGCAAAATATTCATATGTCGATAGAAAACTCAAGTTAATTCCGAAATTCTCGTCGCTCAATGATGTCTCCCCTAGACCACAAATAATTCCTTAAAAAAATTTAATGTATTCCATCCAATAACTCCAAACGTCCATTAATTTTCAGGTAGCCAAAAGGTAGAATGGTGGCATCGCAGAACGATGGTGGAAGAAGTGGCGGTGGTGACACGAACCCCGCCACTGACGAGCACGAGACAGCGGTTTACACAGTATCAGTGAGTGGTGGATACAGAAATGAGGGATACAAAGAGGACAGTGGTGATGGCATACCCCCAGAGCCGACGAAGCCCCCGGCACTACCAGCCCCCGAGGATGACACCCAATCCCGCAAACTCAAAATGTCACGCAGTGAAAAATGGAGAATACTGAAGAACATTGGGACAGTGTCAGTGGCATTCATGGTGCAATTCACAGCCTTCCAGGGCACAGCCAATCTACAATCGTCGATAAACGCCAAAGATGGACTTGGCACTGTATCGTTGTCAGCTATTTATGCTGCCCTGGTGCTGTCGTGCATCTTTGTTCCGACATTTATGATCAAGAGATTCACTGTCAAGTGGACGCTCTGTCTGTCGATGCTGTGCTATGCACCGTACATTGGCTCGCAGTTTTATCCGAGGTTTTATACACTTGTACCGGCTGGTGTGCTACTGGGTCTTGGGGCTGCACCCATGTGGGCCGCCAAAGCCACTTATTTAACGCAAGTCGGGGGTGTTTATGCCAAATTGACTGATCAGCCTGCTGATGCTATTGTCGTCAGATTCTTTGGATTCTTCTTTCTTGCTTGGCAAACCGCTGAACTGTGGGGCAATCTCATTTCATCTCTCGGTGAGTCATTGTTATTCAATTATTATCAGAATAAATAGTCTTGTGTTTTTTAAATACACGGGTGACGTCGTTGTGAATGGCTAACGGATTTTTTTTTCCTCTAAAAAATGGCCCGGAAATTTTTTGAAAGAAAAATTTTCATGTTCCCAAGAAAAATACATTTGAAATTTCTGTGGATATTAAATTGACACGTGTTTGGACACGGCATCAATTCATCTATTCAATGTGACACAACTCCAATGATCTGATTAAGAATTAAATCGCAGTGAAGTTAAAATTTTCATATCATCATTGATCGGTAAACAAAGAATTTATTAAACAATCACGAATTTAAAAAAAGACGATTTGTGTCGTCAACTTTTTCATTTTTTCCCTTTCAAGTGAAAAAAAAAAGAAATTTAATTGTCATTTTCTGAAGAAAAAAATCCAAGCAAAATCCCACACGGAAAAAAGTAAAAATCAAAAAAATGATTTCAAAGGGAAGAAATTTGCCGAGGAGAAATTGACGGAGAAAAATTTCCAGGGATTTTTCAATGGGGAAAAAACCGGGGAATTGAGCACGATTTTATTGGAGAAATTGAAATTGCAATTTTTTTTTGAAAAACTTCGCATTACGATGTCACGTTAGATTTTTTTACGCAATTTTCTTCAACTCTTTCCCGTCTTATTATGCCTTGAATAAAAATATGCAAATTCCCGATTTATCAACATAACGGTCCGCGCGAAATAAATGTGTAGAGGAATTTTTCTCCGTAATTTTGGGATAAATTCTAGGCAACAATGTAGGCGAGTTGGCTATCTCCATCGGCTAGGAAAAAAAGTATTATATTACATAAAAATATCGGTGTTAAACGGACCGAGTGAATGTGAAAGAAAGTTCCGGAGGATATATATACAAAACGTGTATAATACTTTCACGAGACATGCACTGCGCCTGGATGATTCCCGTAGTTTATTCAACATGCTTCATTTTGTATCGGAAAGTTTCGAGAAACTTGGATTTTCGATTAATGGAATTATGTTTTGTGATGATAAACTGCTTTTGCGGGGGCACTGGGGCCAGTGGAGTGGCTCAGCGTTTGATCTGGCGCACCGGTAAATTATAATCGTTTGAACCGCGTTACAATTGTCTGATTGAATGGATGAATGGTACTTTCTTTCGATTTCAATTAATTGCCCTGAAAAGTTAGTGATTCATTTCTTCCTAGTGTCGCATTACTTTTGATTTATTTTTGGAAAATACGGTTCTAACCACGGGAGGTAAAATAAAGGATTACCCACGTGCTTACGCACGTGCGCCCATCAAAAAATATATTATATGCGCCAATTCCATATATTTTTAAAATTTATAAAGAATATATAAAATATATTTTTATTTATATATTTATATTGGGCCATTTTAAAATGTTTTTTTATATATTTTTCAAAATATGAATTTTTTCGTGCGGGGTGAACACGACGCCTTTATTTTACCTGCCTAGAATAAAAATCTAGTATTTCAATTTTTTTTCATCGAAATTTAATATTTTGAAATCCATTAAAATCCCAAAATAATTGATCATTCGATTAGATCAGAGAATATAATTTAGAATCACTATCAGGATACAGAATTCTCAATACATTCATCTCATCCCAACTATGTGTATCGTGAATAATTATGAGTATGACGTCAAAAAAGAGAGGCGAGAGAACCTCGCCGCCCAGGAGTCGCCAAGCACTACCGTACTGTCTGTTCCCTGTTTATAAGAGGCGAAAGATCGCCTCGGGCGAAACGACAAACGAGATTTAACCGGTATAAACTCGCATTACCCGGCTTTCCTCGGCTCGTGGCATTCACGTGCTGATGTAGTGACTTCTGGCAATTTTTAGTACGAATTACTGTTGATTTATCAAAAAAATTATTTTGCATAGAGTATTAAATAATTTTGATTGCTCATCTCGATAACGAGAGGAAAAAATCATCATCAGGAAAAACAAAATAAAACATGTTCCAGCAGTAATGAACACGAATAGCTCGTTTTTTTATAGGTTTATTTTTGCTTACGGAATTGTAAATTAGAGGCTCCAGGAATAAAAAGTGAAAAATTCAAAATCAACAGGTTTTATGGCTTTGACCATTCAATTACGTTGAATATCTATAATTATCTTCTGAAAATAGCTGCTGAGCATTTCTTTGTGTTTCACCATTACCCAGAAGGTCAGGATCGTTTCGAGTCCTTGCCAAGGTCGTTACACAAACCCAAATGAACATTGCCCTCGAGAGTGCCAAACGAATGGACAATAGTGGATGCGATCCCTCTGTTCTTCGCTCACTATTCTCAATTCAATATTTACGAATCAGAGGTGAAAGCCGTTATCGCACAACAGAGGAACGTTTTGAGTGATAATGGCCTCTGTGTAAACAAATCAATGATACGAGCAACTGTAACGAGCACAATATTTTGACAATACTGAGATGTGACGCATCCTCCACTTGTGCAAACTCTTAGTCTGCGTCACTGTCCTTTGGCTTTTATTCTCTCCTCTCCAGTGCGGAGGCCAATTTCTTTCATTTTCATCGGTTGGACAGTTGCACTGTTCAATATTTTTTTCAATAAAATTTCATTTAATATCCAATATGAAATTTCAGTAGCGAAGTGGTCAAGGGGTATAAGTCGATTTTGACTATTCGTGAGTTTTCAATGAATATCTCGCAATCTGAGGCAGATAGAAAAATTTCTGTTATGACCTTTTCGATAGAGAACATTAAGATCTTCAAAAAAGATATGGGTAAAAATTTCGCTATCTTCCTTAGATTTGGAGATATTCCTCGAAAACTCAGCTAAGAGCTAAGTCGACTTAAACCGTTTGACCACTTCGCTACCGATTTCATTCAATATCCAAGAAAATGTAACTGTCCTGATCGATTTTAACTGATTAGTCAGCTAGAAAATATTCACATTTCATACAAATTTGTCGTTATTGAAAACTTCAAGATTTTTTTCATGGAACTCCTAAACTAATTTTTTAACCATTGAAGTTCTGTTGGAATTTCCTTGAAAATAGAAATGTTTGATAGCAAATATTGTACAGAAAAAAATCAATAGATTTTGATAGTTCTGTAAATTTCATTCAATGTAAATAAAGTAAAATAAATACAGTGCAGAAAGCTTTAAAGATTTACATCGAGGGAACTTGATAAATGAAATGGCAATCAAATAAATCGTATGGAGAGCCAAAAATGTAATACAGCAATTAATTGAAGAAAAAATAAAAAAAATTCATACATAAACTCCCTGAAATTATAAACATCCTATGTAAATCCCAGATTGATGTCACTCTTCACCTTCTTCATTCGCCTTAATAGACCGATTTCAATAATAAAGATACGGTAGCGCCAATGTCTTCCGTTCCCCCTATGTCTCAACCATTTTTAGGTAGTAGAACTCCTACCTGAACAGGTGTTTTCTTGATCGGTTAGGCAAATTCAATCGTTATCGTGACGTCTTGTTAGTTTTAGGCGTCAATCAATGAACGTGACACGAGGGAATTATTTCATCACCATGGTAGAATCACTCATCATCTAAGTCTCAAAGTCGCCGGATCGTGTTCGGTGTTTCCTCACGCGGAAAAAAACAGAAAATTTTTCGAATCACCTGTGTCAATTCGAAGAGAGAAATGATATGGAATCATGGACATGTTTCGTCGCGTTCCGCATTTCGTTTTGTCGATTACCAGACAAAATGTTTCATCAGAAAAAATGTTTACGAATGGATTGAGAAATTACAAAATTCTAATTGATTAAATGCGTAGGAGAAGAAGTTTGAGAACAAAAAATCATTCAATATTCATTAGTCATTCTCCTTCCCGATAAAAAATCTTAATTACCCCTGAAAATGATTTATAGGATGGTTTAAAGAATGGATCGTAGTAAATGAATAGTTCGAGATGTCAGATATGTATTGAATTGACGAATAATGTGAAGAAAACAAAATCAGGATGTGCTATGAAATCATCGTTTAATTATTTGAGAAATAAATATTTGTAACTGTTACTCGTGTCCCTAATTTTGTAAACAACAGTTCTCACATTTCTTCAAATTATTCAAACGTACTTTCTCAAGTTATTTATTTGAAAATAAATAATAAATCGCCAGGGAGAACATTAAATACGTTTATTATTCTATTATTTATCATTTTTTTCTTCTTTCTTTTACTGTTTTTTTTTATATTTGAACTTCCTGTTGCGCTATGCGTTATGTTTTTAACTTTATATTTACCTTACTTTTACTATTACTATTGATATTTTATTGATTAGGGGAACTCCCCTGCATAAATCATACCATGTGTTAAATTTCAGAAATGAATGAATGAACAAAAAACATTTATTCGGTAAAAATTCCAGTGCTGGCACTGGAAATTCCACTGGAACCACCTGAATTTTCCTCCTAGTCTATTTCTATGGAATTTTCAGTACTAGAATATCCAAGAGATGTAATTTTTCCAAGCAATTTCTCTCCGTGCAAATAACATCTCACAATCTACAAAAGTATTAAAATCATTTTATCCTGTTCTTTCAGTGTTAAGTGAAGGAGAATTCGGTGGTGGTGGCGATGAGAATTCCACAAACTTCAATCTAGAGAAACTGAGCACCTGTGGTGCAGCATTCTGCACAATGGGTGGTCATCACGAAGTGGAACGTCCCCCCGAGTCCGAGATCTTCGAGATTTCCTCCATCTACCTGACGTGTGTCATTGTTGCTGTGATAATCGTTGCCCTCTTCGTGGATCCTCTGTCAAGGTGAGTTCTTCAGAAACAACGAAAAAAAGGTATATTCACTCAGTCGAGCCATGGACACCGGAAACACCTCGTTAATCCGTAATAGAAAATGATTAACGTGCGTCGTTTCGTGTCAGGCTGATAATTCATTCCTCGAGTCTAGATCCTAAACAAAACGATTCGTTTATCGTAATGTTTCAGCTCTTGTTGTTGCACTCGGTTGTGTAAAAATTGTAGGGCTCATTCTCCCGCAACTTTGATAGGATTTTTTTCCACCTCTCTGGGAATTTTTTTTTTTTATTCGTTCAACATTGAAGTTACGAAACAGAAGGCTAATAAGCGAGTATCACGGGATCCTCGGAATATCCCTACCATTGTATATCCGCCATAAACATTGCTCTGCTGGTGATTGCAAAATGGCATACATCCGACTTGGGATGCGCATCGTTGCACAGGTAAAAACCGTATGTACGAGGTTTACGTAATTTTTTCTTCTTCTTCGGTCTTCGACGATTTGCGGTTTATGAAAAATACGCTGGGCCCAATGGCAGTGGCTGTGTTTCCGTTGATAATAGATTGGTATACCTGTTCTTTTATGAATGGAGGTGATCCTGTTGATGTCAGAGTCCTCTCTGTAAGTAATTCGTGACTTGCAAGATTTTTTATATCGAGTCATTCGAGAGCTGATGGTGATTAGGAGCTTTTGTGAGGCAAGCTTCTCGAATAATGGCCGGAGAATTACTTGCGATCATTGGGATTGACATCGACTGATTATTTCTTGAATCGACGGATCCTTTGGGTCAATCTCGGGAGATTAGCGCGTTTAGGTGATTAATGGGGCTTGAATATTTTTGTGGAGGTGGCTCTCAGTTGCAGTAGCTAAAATAATTTATTCAGTTGCGTAATAGTGGGTGTATTTGCTCAAATGCATGCTCCCCTCATTCTAGAGAATTAATTCTTGCTTTTATGACGCCTCATTGACTTTGATCAACAACTTCAGTCTTTTAATTGCAATGGGAAAGAGAAATTTGAGCGAAAATGTTGAGATATTTTCGCTCATTCTTTTTATGGGAAATTTCTGCAGCTTAAAATAGTAGAATTGTCACTATTTATCACTTTTGTATGATAATTTCGATTTCCACTCGTCTGAAATTGCTGTGATTTTTTTTAGCATCATTAACATCAACATCAACTGATTATTTCTTGAATTGACGGATCCTTTGGGTCAATCTCGGGAGATTTGGGCGTTCAGGTGATTAATGGGGCTTGAATATTTTTGTGGATCATTCTAGAAAATTAATTCTCATTTTCATGACGCCTCAATGACTTTGATCAACAACTTCAGTTTTTTAATTAAAATAGGAAAGAGAATTTTGAAGGGAAAATGTTGAGACAATATTTTTGTGGGAAATTTCTGCAGCTGAAAATAGTGGAATTGTCAATATTTATCACTTTCGTGTGGAATTTTCCGCTCGTCTGAGAATTACTGTAATTTTTTTAGCATCATTAACATCACCATCAACTGATTTTTTCTTGAATTGACGGATCCGTTCGGTTAATCTCAGAAAATTAGGGCCTTTAGGCAATGAATGTAATTAGAATATTTTTGTGGAGGTGTTTGTCAGTTGCAGTAGCTGAAATAATTCATTCAGTTGCATAATAGTAGGTTTATCAGCTCAAATGCATGTTTGTTTCATTCTAGAGAATTATTTCTTGTTTTTATGACGCCTCATTGACTTTGATGAACACCTTCAGTCTTTTAGTTGAAATGGAAAGAAGAATTTTGAGTGAAAATATTGAGACAATATTTTTGCGTGAAATTTCTCTTTAATAAAACCGTTGAAATATCGCTGTTCCCCATTCTCTTATGGAATTTCCCGCGCAAGAAATGCAATTTCTCTCGATCATTCAATATTATTAACTCCTAAAACAAAGAGTTTATCCTCAAGTAAACACCAGTTACATATCCACGAGTAGAGAATCATTGGCTGAAGTCAGACGCGGCGCGATTAAAATCTCATCACGTCTTCCGGCAGCACACCTTCCCAATCAATTGAAGAATATTCTTGAGGATTTCTCCGAATAACTTAACGCGCTATGAAAACATCATCAGTGATCTCCGCGAAAAATTTTCAAAATTCACTGTACATTATCCACGATTGAAATAGAAAAATCGATGATGTCTTCCTAGTGCGTTCGTCGAACCTGTCTAGTGGATGGAATGCGTCAGAGGCGACACACAACACCTCTGTTATGCACACACGCGAGTCCTTTCACCTCCGGTCCCACAACAGATCTAAATAATCCATCAACATTTAATGTCAACTGCTAGTCTCATTTTCATTTTAATAATCACGATCTGAGATTGATAAAGCGCGGCATGATGGCTCTGGCGAGTCAACGGGGGACTAGAGAGGGGGATGTATTTTTTCTCTCATTTTTCAATGACTATCGTCCGTGATATCTCAATCCCTGAGAGTTACGCAATGACAGGTGTGTGCATTTAAATTGTATATACTTGCTCACCATGTCCGCCATTTTAACTTGGGGCACAAGGTTAAGCTACTGGCGTAACGGTTTATGATGCTGTTTGTATTGGTTTTTGAATTCACTATGTTCCTAAAATAATAAGGAAGAAAAACAGAATTTATCAACATTTTTTACCATTTTTACTTCCTAATGAAAGCATTGTATTCTTCATAACCGAAATTTCACATTTTTTGTGTCAAAATGAATAATTTTGGCCGCAGCGTATTTGTGTATGACACCGATTGTTTTTCGAGGATGAAAAAATAATTGTTTAAATGAAAACGAGTTCAACAACATTTATTCATTTATTTACTTATTATTTATTCATTAATTTTATTAAAATATTCTTTCTAACGCCGTTTAGACCGAGTTCGATCACGAGATTGATTGCATCATCTGTTGTTGAAAAAAATCATTTTGCAATGTTGATATCAATGAATTATTGTATTCAATTTAAATCACATCGTCATAATAATTCCATTCGCACGCAAATAGCTAATTTATTAGCAAAAATATATTAACTACATTGTGATGAAAGTAATTTCCCACTTGTTTAATTCTCAAATCTCCAAGAAACTCGATTTCTAATCTTTACTATTCAATTCAATGAAGAATAAAATGTAAAATGGAAAAGTTGGTTAGTAATAATAAATAATGAGTGATAAAAATGAAAAAGTCTTATGGTGATGATTGTTAAAAATGTTTGCGCTCGCGGCGGATGCGAAAATTCATAAATCAATTCGCGATAAAATCATTCAATATTCTTGGAAATCACTTTATGGTTTCTGTATGTATCATCGGCGTCAATCGGGTAATTATCCTCTGCTCCAAACCCCCCACCACTTGCTAACGTGTGAGCGACCATGAGATGGAGAGGATAACCTTGCAAGGCTGTCTCCACTGTTGATTTTTTTTCCCCTATCCACGTTGCTCAGAGGGAGAGAGAGAGAGTTTTTCATGTTCTCGGCATTTTCTTGTCGGTTTTTCTCCATTCATGACGTTATTACTCCTGGGCATAAACGGTGATTCAGAGAATACTTTACGATTGCATTATGAGTTGAATTATGCATTGAGATTGTCGATGAGAGTGTGCAGGTAGGTATGTGCACGTATGAATTTTTTCGCTTTCTCGGAGGTGGGGTTTATCAGGTGGATAGGAGAAGAATTTCTTGGTTCTAATGGCGTATGGAAATTCACGTGGCTTTTGTGTTATTGAACTGAACAATGCACTGATAATGATGAATCACTATTCCTTTTAACTCTGTGCAATTCAGTTCATAAATTACCACGAAAAACGAGGCGAAATGAAAAATTTATAAAAATACTCTTTGTTAATAATTTGGATTGATAAATGGAGTTATGGGAAGTGTAATGCATTAGAGTATTTCGTGCACGTTTGGCAGAATTTAATAGAAAAATCTGGCGATTTTTTAATAATATAGGAGCAATTTATTATTTCCTTGAGATGCGAAAATCGCCTAAAGGAAAATTGAAATATAACATAATTATTACAAACGAATCTTATGAATTATTTACATTATTAGTTACATTCAATTTTCTTTTCATATATCTAACTTTCCAGTCGCTATCATCACATATCTTCATCATCATTATAATTATTTGGAATAAAAAGTTGACAATCAATTAATAAATAGAGTCGTTAAAAATACAATCCATTAAAATAATTAAAATCATGATAATAAGATTTATAAAATACTCCAGATAACATTAGTATTCCCCATCGGATAATCCAGAGACTGAAAAAATCTTAAACGTGTTCGCCGTACGGTGGAATGCGGTCCCTGTACTATATTATGTCGCTTTACCATCGTTAAACTCTCCTGCATCCCATATATTAATGTTTTAGTCCCCTCCCGTGGACCGATAACCCTAATGCGCTCAACCGTACACGGTGGCAGAATTTATTCTACAAATTAGTCACAGAGACAAATTAAGATGGAAACGAAAAAAAAAATCAAAAACTGGCGAAGGAGTGGGTGAAAAAAAATGCTTGAGGTTCTGCAAATCTCTGATTTATCCTGACACATTGTATTCCCACGAAGAGGGGTCATAGAACTCGTTTTTGACCGTTCGCGGGATAGTCTTTTTCACCCAGGCAGACGAATACGATCATTTTTTATGGTCGCACCATGGGAGTCTACGTCGTGGGGATTTGGGATTCAAATTTTTACTTCACAAATGCATTTGCGGTTTATGACAGCCCTTCGAGAGTTATGCAAAGCCCTGAAGAAATTAAAAGAAAGTTTATATCAGTCGAATGACGTTTCGGCCTCATTTGATTCATAAAATATTTTTTCTGAGAAAATCAGTGAAACAGAACTTGGAAAATGCGCAAGATTTTTCATAGATTAATCGAATTCAAGGTTTTTTTCCGGAAAATTCAGCCGAATTTTTTTGACAGTGCGAGACGAATATTGCAATTTTCTCCGTTGACCCGGAAAAATTTACTGAATGTGAAATTTACCCTGCATTTCATCAAAAATTGTCCCAGTGTACGTGAATAATTGTTCAATATTGCGTATAATTTTTCCGTAACGGAGAATCATTTTTGCATCCATAGATGTGTTTTTTTACCGAACGAATCTTAAAATATCCTCCCCAAACAGGTATTTTTTCACTGAATTAAATTTCTCTCCACGATTACCTTTCGTACAGTAAAATTCGCCCCGATGTTCTCCGTATTTTTTCCCCCACTTTTCTCTCCGTCTAGGCGTAATAAAAAAATAGTAATTAGTAGAATCTGTTTTACTAATCAAATGACTCATAATGAATTCCCTGAAGAAAAAATGAGGATATCCTTTGATTGCCCGTTTTCCCCGAAGAAAAAAAAAGCAACAAGACGATGGGGCATAATAACGAGCGCGAAACAACATAAATTAACGCAAAAAAACAATAATTATCTTCCGGGAATCAACTTCTGTTATAATAAGCCGGTCGCTACAATAAAAAATTTATATTTATGCTCACCCGGTTTCCCGTGTCGCTGGCCATTTACTTCCTCCTACATTATTACCGCATTTATTGGACTGATGTAAAAAGAAATTCAGGGGATTATGCCGGCCAGACGGTTTACACGATATACAAAAAAAAGGATGTTTACGGGACTGACGCCATCGAGACGACTGTTATTCATATTCATATTCGCTCGTCTTCATTTTTTGAATTTTTATTTTCAATGTTTTTTTTTGCATGTTCGACTCTCAGGTACGGTGAGAAGCAGCGTCGTGCCGATAGTGTGGAGCTCAGTGGGATACAGTTGCTATCTGCAACTGCCTATCAACTCAAGAAACCGTACCAACAGCTCCTGATTCCCATCACGGTATGGATCGGAATGGAGCAGGCGTTCATTGGTGCAGATTTCACTCAGGTAAACAAGAAAATGATTGAATTACAATAATTTAATTATTATTAAATCATGTAATTGCTATTAAATTCATGAATTGTAGGGTTTTTTTGCACTCAAATGTCTTTGACGTGTCGTTAGTTCTTTAATTATTTCGATAATGCGGAGACAAAAGGCAGAAAACGGCATCAACAGCGGCAAAAATACTCCGTAAATTATTCCTGAATTTTAGTCATTGAGTAGAATAATTTTCGCTCAGATGTTTTTACCAAAAGTTTATGAAAAAAATCAATGCATTCAAATTCCACAGAATTATTGCAATTCCCGGACAGAATTACCCGAAATCCATTCAAAAAAAAAAATCATCCGTATTCACAAAGCTAGGATTACGAAATATCCTCAAGTTCTCTTGAAAACAAGAGGAAACGAGTGAATCGAAAATATTAACCCTGAACTTGACTGATGAGATCTTTCGATAATATCCGGAAATCCTGATCGAGACAATTTTCATTTCGCTTATTTTTTGAATAGACACTTTATTCATGAGTTTGTCTGAGAGCTTCCGGGGGGGACCTAGCGGTGATTACCAGTGGGAAGGTCTAGTAGTCACGTGCCCACACTGATCCGCCACACAAACGTAACAGTAATGACTTGTTGCGGAGGATTGATAGAATTGAATGGTGAAAAAGAGGATGACGAGATGGCGTTCAGACCGGGGTATTCATTAATTATTTCGATGATTTCAGACCACTCCAATGAATTTATATTCCCGAAAAATAATAATCCCGACAGTAAAGTTGAAATTGCAGAGGAAAAAGCGGAAAAAATCCGTGCAACTTCAATGGAAAATGCAAAATTAATGCAGAAATCAATCCGAATAAAGAAAAATAGCTCTAATGATCCAAACAGGTGATTCCAATCGGCGAAAGTCGACTCGAAGGATTCAATCGTAAAAAAAAAACACCACTTGGTGTATTTTTTCGTCCTCGAGTCGTCCAATGTCACGTTGTCCCAAAGTCGGTCAGGAATTTCACCAACAACGCGAAATTATCGCATGATTATTCCTACCATTGACTCGTACACTCCCGTAAGCTGTTCTCTCAAATGTATTCCCAATTGGCTCTCTCGACTGTCGACGAAATGAAAAGGAATATAAAAAACTCATTACCATTTCGTTATTTTATCGCCCTCAGTTCTCTCTTTGCTTAGCCATGACGAAATTACTTCCTCGCAAATGAAGGCTCGATCGTTATTGACCAAAAATTCCGAAAATAATTCCCTTGCAGAGGTAACGAAAATAGAGCCCTTCATTTCATCGATCAAATATTTACTCAATGATCGCCGACGTGAAAACTGGATGACAGAGCTATATGTTCACCTATGTCAATGTTTACTCGGTCTACTCTCGCCCATTTAATTTGTGACATGAATATTTCAAAGAATCAGGCGGAACCCGTGGAAAATCTCTGATGAATAGAAACCTTTCCACTTATTTTTAGAATATTTTCATTTAAAATATTTCTCTGAAATTATTGTAGTCATGTTTCTCGTATCTTCCACGATATTTCAAATTAATGATTCAGCTAACGTCTTGACGCCATTAATTTTCAATTAATGTTTAATTAATCCGGAATTTCAAATTGCCCTCATTTCAAAATCATTTCCCAGTTGAAATAAATAGGTTTTCGTTACTAAATTCTAGAGATTTTTCATCGGAAATTCATTAAACAGTTTATTTTATGTACAGAAAAAAAATACGCAAAATTACTGTACAATCTAGGCAATTGTATTTTGGGACTTTTTATTTGAAATTTGGGAAGAGATGTATCAAACATTAAATTTGTTGTAGATGAATGGGCTGTCGGTTAAAAAATACAAGAAAGACGGATAAACTGTCCCAATTCCATTATGAAATAAATTCTTCCAGTCAATTTGCGGGTCAGAAATCAGCAAAAAAACAAAAAATTCCAACTTAAAAAAAAATTCCCATTTTTTCAATTTTGTCAACATTTCGTGTGCAATACGCACGCTTCGGGGCAGTTATTCGTCTGTAGAAAAAAAATTTCTAAATATAGGGTGAACAGGCTAGTTGAATACAGCCGAAACCCCTTATTTCTGGACGACTGGACCATTTTTTTCATTTATTAAATGCCGATTCAATCGAAAAAATTAATTAATTAATTGATCACTTGATTACATACGAGTAATATTATTAAAAGGTGAAATAATCAGTAGAATAATCATTACAGTGTCCATTTCACTTATGGAATATTCAATGCAAGTTGAAATCGTCCAGAAACTAAACCCCGTCGTTGTGAAGTCTAAGAAAAAAAATTGTACCATTTCCACCGATTTTTCATCATTTTCATTTCGTAAAATATTTAAAATTATTTTCATTCTCTTTCAGGCCTACATATCGTGTGCCCTAGGTGTTCAAAAAGTCGGCTACGTCATGATCTGCTTCGGAGTTGTGAATGCGGGCTGTTCACTTCTCTTCGGATCAGTCATGAAGTTCGTGGGAAGACAGCCACTGATGGCCCTCGGGGCAGTGGTACACGCAGCCCTCATCGGTGTTCTCCTAGTCTGGAGGCCTCATCCTGAGAACTCCTACGTCTTCTACACTGTGTCAGGCCTCTGGGGCGTGGGTGACGCCGTGTGGCAGACTCAAGTCAACGGTGAGTATAAAAATTCAGGAGAAAAAAAATCCCAAACGTCAGAGCGACGAATTTGCATGAAATTACGATCACGGTACCCATCACAGGAATTAAAATCCCAAGTTCGATAACCGGTCGCAAAGTTATCTCGATCCATCAGTCTCGATGTGACAGACGCAGGTGTCACTATTGACAATTCCCATTTCCTCATTCTCCACCTACAAATCGGAGTAAAAAATTGTTTACCGAGGATTGTCCTTCGTATAGCGTTTTGAAATGGAAATGGATCATTAACCAATCCGTGGAACGATTACATGACGATGTAACGTATGACAAAATCAACGCGGAATAATAAATTTGGGTATTGTATAATAAATTCAGGGGCTCCGCGGGGTCACACCGGTTATTATACGACCCGTTGTGAATGATTGATTCTTCGGAGACAAGGATTTTTGACACGTGACATTTCCACTGAAATTTATGAAAATGTCTTTATTGAAAGAATACGATTTGATGAAAAATCCGGGGAAACTGTAAATTTGAATTGAACCATTCAAGATTATTATTTCAAGGAGTTGCAAAATTTCCTTCTTATTTCGAAAAAAGAATGGGAAATTTCTAATTTTTGACAAGTGACATTTGAAAAAATCGGGTAAATTACGAAATTTCAGTTCGATTTTCATTTGATGCTGGTTAAAGTCATTTCAATTTTTAATTAATCTTGAAATTTGACGAGCCTTTCCCCTCATAAATCGGATTTAATGTCATTCTTTGCAGAGTTCCAATTTTTTCTAAAACTCTTGTTTCAGAAAAAGAAAATGAGAAATTTCTGACACTTCTCATTTTGAATACATTTAATAATTTGGTTCAATAAATTATTTTGTAGTGCCGCGATGATTTTTTCATGTTATTCAGACCTGTACCCCATCAAGCAATTTCTTCTACTGTAAACTGAAGAAATTTCGTCATTAAAAAATCCCTGTTTGATGGAAAAAATGAAAAAATCTCCCTGAAAATGATTGAAAATGATAAAACCTCCGGTGAATTTTCAGTCAATTCAAAATTCACCTAAATTTCGAATTCTCCGTCTTATTTCCGTCTGAAACTGTTTGATTTCATTTCACTCATCTCCTAATCTTGAAATTTCATGCCCCTTTCCCCATAAATCAGATGTAATATCACCCTCTACACAATTTCAACTATTTCTAAATCTTTAGTTTAAAAAAACAAACAAGAAATTTATCATTTTTTCATCTTAAATACATTAATTTAGTTTAATAAATTATTTTGTTATTCTCGCAGTGATTTCTCCACATTCTCCAAACCAAAAACTCATCAAACAATTTTCAAAACCCCCCGATTATCCCCAGGTCTCTACGGTACGCTCTTCAGACGCAACAAGGAGGCTGCCTTCTCCAACTATCGTCTCTGGGAAAGCGCTGGTTTCGTTATAGCATATGCCTACAGCACACACTTATGCGCAAGAATGAAGCTTTACGTCATGTTAACAGTATTAATAGTTGGTACAATGGGTTACATAATCGTGGAGATACTCCACAGGCGAAAGCAGAAGAGATTGAAGGCACTTGCTGAGGATCCAAAGGCAGCAGCAGCCGCTGCTGAGGCAAATATGCCCGAGGAAACTGACGATGAGAAAGACGACATAGACGACGACATTATCATAACACATCTCTGAATTATTCAATCGAGTGGATTTAATGAAAAAAAAACGCTATTATCACAGTCTAACGAGGTTTGTCCTCAATTTTATTTATCAACGGCCTCTAGGTTTACCTCACTACGACGTCTCTCAAGCCAACGCTCGTCGGCCCGCACACAAAATAATAAATACAATAAAACATTAACGATCATGCGTTGCCACGTGCTGGACGACGATCGATTATTTATGAGGACGAGAGAATTATGCTTGAGAGCCGTTTGTGTTTCATCGTAGACACGATGACAGGAGAGATTGAGGGGTGAACGAGGCAGAAATAAAAATGTTTTGTACATTATTAAAAAAAAAAAAGAACTAATGAAATTTCCGGATTGAAAAGGGAAATTTGAATCTGAATAATCAGGGGATATTGATGGATTTGATCGTGAAATATCGTCAACTATATTTTTAACTAATGAAATTCAACAACGGAAACAACAAAGCAGTATTTTATAACGAAACAATTGTTCTATTTTATTTTGAACGATTGATGCGATACAGTTGCCTGAGGGAATTCAGTTTCCGTCCCACGTGGTGCATTAGCTCAAAACGAGTATCCTCCAATGTAGGATTAGTTGTAGATAAAGTGGTAGGTGTTGTTAAACTGGAGATTTATGAGTTTGAATTTCGCATTGATATTTTTTATTGAAATCAATCTGTCTTTTTTTTCTCCTCGGCTCAGGTACTACATATTCTTCTGCAATGTACCTCGCATGTGTGATTGACACATGAACGCGGTTTCTTATTTTGTGTTGATCAATCAATCAGATTTCTTCTGATTGAATTGAACAATCTATTCGAAGAATATGAACGCTAATGCGGAAGAGTATTTAAGATACATTTCAGTGTATAATGAACCGGTGACCTTGGCAGGACCGGTATGTCGATAGAAAATTCATTGGCCTCGTGGATAATACCACGTGTCCTCGATCATCAGTGGTTGAGATTATTTTTTCTTCGTGAAGAATTAATAATCGTGGTGAATTCCTTGCGCTTCATCGAAGTGTCGCAATTATTTTGTGAATGGTGATTCAAAGCACGTGAATCTCAAACGTTTCGATTCGAGCCGAGGAAAAAGACGGAATAAGCGTACTTATTAATTCTAGGAGTAAGGGGAGACCGCACTGAAATTTCAAAATCGCGGGGGCCTTGGAAAATGAGAAACAACTGGGTTTTCATTATTTTTCCTTGATGGAATTTTCGAATTTACTCGTGACGCAATTCTCAATCGATTGACGTTAATCTAGATTTACATGCATGCATAAATATAACTAAATGAGGCTTTTCGAAAATATTTTTTTGGGGGTTTGGAGTTGTTTTTCGAAATTACTAGAAGTGAAAAATTTGAAAAATTGTTCGTATTGAAGAACTTATTATTTTTTTCATCGTATTCTGAATAAATGACTCGCAAAATCTAAAAAATTTCTGCTTTGAAGATTTATTGTGTAGTTGAATACCACTAATTGTCAAATTTTCTCACCTCAGCCAATTTAGAAAAAAAATTCCAAAAGCTAAAAAATTATAAATTTTCAAAAAATCTCATTCAGCTCATTAATATTATTATATATTATTATTATGCATGGATAATCCAAAATTTATCAAATGGGTTGAGAATAGCGTGATGAGGACACTTGAAAATTTTACTCCTCTAGAGCCACTTTCTGATCAATAAATAAAGCAAAACGCAATGTTTTATGATTTTTTCCATGAAAACCACTAGCAAACTCATCAGTACGATAGATGAGGCACCGATTTCGGAATTTCCGTGCGGTCTCCCCTTAAAAAAATTACTATAAGCGTGATTGAAACATAAAACGGCCGTGGAACAACTATCAAACACAATTAGCAATTAGTACGGAGTGAAATCCTATAACTCGGAGGAAGTAGACAAGTAGTTGAATGATTGTAATAAGTCCATACATTAATGAAATAAAATACATTTACATATCTCGAATGGATATCATCCAATAATATTAAGGATTTTATTCACACGATTCTCGGGACCATTACGTCTGTTGTTAATTGATTAAGAATTATATATTCCTCGCAATAATGATTGTTAGCTACTAGACCTAGGGTTGTTTAAATTTGTTTACAATGAAAATGAGAATTAGGGTGAAATGAATCGATTGAATTTACGTGTATTGTTGAAGTCGTACGAGTGTCGATGAAAGATACTCACACGATTGAATGATGAAAAAAGGTATCAGTGTTATTCCTCATTGTTTAGATTGTCCTTGGGGCTTACTACCGAGGGCTGAGATTGTTGGCGTGTGTTAATAATTATCATTCGAACACTATAAATATATTTTCATCCGGTTGACGCTCGACATTTATCGAGCTCTTGGATTTTATTGTACAGTATCATTGTAGTTTGTAAGCGTAAATAATTAACAATACTATTTTTCTCGCTCCTCTTTCGATTACTTTAATTAATACAGTGTAAAATTTAATGCCATTATGTTATATAGTGATTGTAATTGTTTAAGGATATTTTAAATTAGTTTTTAGACGATTATCATTTTATTAAATGAAAAACAATTGAGATAATTACTTTGTTTATTCATTTTATTTTACATATTTTTTGGTCGTTATTCACCTAGCTCAGAGGGACAGTGAATTTTGTTAGTTAACATGACGAAAATCAGGGGAAAACGTAATAATCATCATCATATGGCTTTAGTTTAAAGTTTATTACTCTATGTTTCTTTACGTAACACTTCAAGCATACATGATGCTCATTAGACACCAGGTGACAGACAACTAGAAAGAAATGAGACACTGAGAATGCAACATTGGCCTCATACACTGTTTGTCATTCTATTTTTATCAACTTACGAAAGCTTATTTCTCAAAAGGTGAAGGCACTCAAGTCTGGAAAAAACACTTCTTACAATTATTTTGAAATTATTTTGCTCTTTATGTCATCAACAATTTATACATGTGCATATATCATAATCACAGCAGCACGTATATTTTTTTTAATTCATTATTTTTACAAAAATATATAGCTTGGTATGGAAATCGTTGCGTTCCACGAACGATTCATTTGAATATTCTCGTTTTATTATTGGTTGTTTCTCCATGATTTCACCGTTGGTCTAAGTACTATTTACATTCTATACATCATCAATTAGTCATTTTATTCTAGAAGCACAAATTATGGGTTTCACGGTGAATCTCGTTATTATCAGGATGAGAATAATCACGGTATTTATTAATTTTCTTACTGATTAAATAATCGTGATTTTTTAATTCTAATTCCTTTGGAACTGCCGTTTGGCAAAAATATATAATATGAATCAAAAATATCACATTTGTTTCAATTCGTTTCTCGCAGTGATCCCCCTAAAATAAATCGAACATGATCAATTTATTTTCATCCGAAATTGCATGATGAAAATAAACTCGCATCAGCTAGTCTACAAAATAATAATGCACGTGAAATACAATCATTTAAGACTGGATTGAGCTTTTTGGATGAGTACGAGTGCCTTATAGTAACAATTGTACTTTAATAAACCTCTACAAAAAGAAAAAAAACGTATCGTAAGTACCAATTATTCTTTAAGGAACGTTTGAGTATAAAATACTGATAATTGAGTGAGAGATAAATCGCCAGCAGGATTTTAACAACAAATATCCCATTATAATGGAAGCACAGTGTGCATTCACAAACGTTTAGCACTAGTACCTTAAATTCCTCCAATTGCGCATAACTTTGAACAGTCTAATCGAATTTAATATATCAAAAATAAGTAAGAAAAGCAAGTTGACATTCGAGTCCATGAATAATTGAATTTCCAATTAAAGTTGCTTATATTCGTTTGCTCTAATAAATATCAAAACGTTAAAATGTTTGTTGTCAACATTTTAAGAATCATGACAGCAAAAAAAAATCAAACATGACATTTGGAATTGGACATAATCATGGCCCATCCACAATTATTTACAAATTTAATTTCTCAATGATTCCCAAGCTATCTACATTTTTAAAATTTTATATTTTCCTTAGTGCAACTCCTCCACATAATTACCTAATAAAAACGCGGACGAGCCCAAATAAAATTAAAATGATCTAGATATTACCCCCTCGAAGTATACAATTTCATCCTAAATATGAGCGTATCTCAGCTGGCATTGGACACATCCATATCGATTGTCTCCTCCTTGAGTAGTGCACGCCTATCTTCCTTAGCATTAGATGCTTTCTTCCCACCAGGTTTGCGTTTCCCCCTGTTGACCACTCCATTATCATCATCCATCATCCTCAATATTTGTGTTTGGTCTGAGCTTTCAATTGGGGCTATTGATATGTCTCTCACAGCTCTGAATTTGCCGCAGTTATTCAAGTGCTCGTTCTCAAGTCGAAAGAAATTCCAGACGAATCTCCTAAAATGATTAAAAACAATCAACCATTAACAATAATCTCCAAGAAAACATGCCAAACCCTGTAAAATATCACTATTTTACTAAGAACCAAATGGCATCTTGAGCAATAATAATCCTATGCATTCAAAACTCATAATCATCCCAGAAAATGGGCGTTAACGACCGAATTATTGATCATAAATTCACCTGAAGACTTCCAATGGCGCCACAATTGAGGTCATCAGGTCCCCACCGACATACCCATAATCCACGAGAACAAAACTTGCTATCCAAATGAATCTCAGCAAGAAATCCTCAATAATGGCAAAGTAGTAAAATCCCTGTGCAAAAAAAAAACCATAAAGAACCCTATGGCATTTATTAATTACCAATAAACACGAGACCACTTACAGCGGATGAATACACGACTTCTTCGCGCAGAAATTTATTTTCACCTGCATTACTGTCCAATAAACCCCAATCCATTTTTATATCCCAAGTGTACGAGTATATCGAATTTATCAAACAGCTCACGACCCACAGCCACAGCCAGGGGCTCTCCCAGTGGTTTTTCCTGTACTCATCTAAAATATTCAATCGCCAATTAACAATGCCATAAATTATCGTAAAACGAGCTAAGGAATTTATTCGTTAATAAAGGATAAGTGGATAAAAATCAGCGAATGCAACGATGAAGACGAGACTATTGAACTCACCGTCATGATAGAGCCTCAAGGTTGCTGTAATGACAACAAGAAAAGTTGTTGCGTATTTTCCCGCATTAACAAGATGTGGAAATGCCTCCTTTGAGTCACGATAACGTCTGACACACTGTGCAAATCTTATCCATGCGGGTATGCAATTGACTATTGGCCGGACTATCAGTGAGCCAGATCCACACTGGCTTGTCTCCCCGGCATTCAGCCAGTCTCCAGTTGTCAGGTAGAAACATATTAAAAAGTGGAAATCCATCAGAGGGGTCACGAGACTGTTCAGCTGATCTGCCAGCCAAAAGTCCGCGAAGTTTACGTAGGCAAATGGTGCTATTATCATTCTCCACTGGAATGAAAGGAAGATATTACACTGGGAACACTAGGAACTATTTTGAACTTGAAGTAGTGTGAATAAACAACAGTTGAGTCGTTGAGTGTAGCTAGGAAAACTAAAATCAAAAAGCCCAGAAAAAATTATCATTGATAATTTTTCCCATTGATTCGAACATTGATGAGTGTAAAAAATGGATCCATTCAATTCTTTCTCCAATTATTATTTTTTAACAACAGTATCTCGTTTAACTAGGTTGTGGCGACATAATAATTTTCATATTGTGCATTTTTTTTTATTTCTCGAGATTTTTTCTAGATTTCAATCTTCTTGCTAATCTCGAAAAATTTTGCACTTCTAGATTAATTATTATGAATAATAATCCACCAATCGAATGAATGAATCCCTGAATCGTTCATTCCAAGACGAAATTCCCCCAAACTTATGTGTCAATCAATTCATCTTCAACCAGAAGTGACTTACACAAATTCGCAGTAACCAAAACCTCGCCTCATGCCGGAATATCTTGAACGGATTAAAGAGAAATGCCAGCATGATGCACACAAGCACTAGTGGATTGGTATAAGGTGGTACACCGAGGCTCGCGCTGTACAGGAAACTGAGTAAACTCAGTGTCCAAACAACTCCAAGGACAGCTGCGAGCTCCATGAGATGCTGCTCCGACAAGTGATTACGTGGATCCAATTCAAATATCAATACATGATTAACTCCGGATGATCTCCAGCCATAAACATTGACCCCGATGAGAAATAAAAATTCGACGAGTAGCAGAGGTCCCCGGTAGAGTCGAAATGCCACTTTGAGATTGTCCCCATTTTCGTGGAAAATTGCTAAAAAAACAGGTAGAGATCATGAGCCAACTGCGAGTGCTATCTCCAAAACAACATCATAAAGAAGAGAATAATCGATGACGTAAATGTTCAAACACTGCAATTATGCAGCTTTGCACTGTTCAAATAAGGGGAGAATGCAAACATTATTCACCAGAAAGCACAACAGCAACAAATAGAACAATGAAACTCCCGGAGAATAATCCCACTTTGAATGTAGTCCAAGGGCTCTGATGTTCCCCCAGTGGAGGCACACGAAGTCTCTTCATCGCTCTCTGTCGATCTCCACTCTCCAATTCGTTGGTAACTGTTGCTTCTGTCTCCTGAATCAGTCGGTCGATGTCTTTTGAAGTACAGAAATGAGACGTTTCCACACACTCCATTCGCCATTTTGAGCCACTGTCGACGTTCAGTAGCTACATAATGCAAACAAAAATACCTCAGTAACAGGAAAATTGAGGCCTAGCATTCAGATCTGGGGAGATGAGTAAGAGAATGATTTTTACGTTGCTGAGATTCTTTTGGTTGAAGGTCTGAGGGGGAGGACAGGCCTCTGTTTGGGGTCAAGGATCAGGATTATCTCTTCTGATGACTGAAAACCTTTTCGCATTTTTTTCAGGATTTTTCGAAAGTCAGTGTAGTTCAAATTTTGATAATTCTAAAGAAAAATCAGAGAATTTTTCAGTTGAAGAATTTAAAAAGTGGAAAGGCTTCTGCTTGGTCAGAGGGATCAGGATCGTCTCTTCCAATATCTTGTCCTGTTTTTTTTAGGATTGTTTGAAAGCCAATGAATTTCAAATTTTGATAATTCTGAAGTAAAATCAAGGATTTTGTCAGTTGAATGACTGAGGGAGAGGAGAAGCTTCTCCTTTATCCCAGGGATCAGGATCATCTGTTCTGATGACTAAATACCTTGTCATGTTTTTTTAGGATTTTTCGAAAGCCAGTGTAGTTCAAATTTTGATAATTCTGGAGCAAAATCAGGGAGAGGTAGTACTCCGAAAAACCTAGCTTCAGTTCACGTATTTTTCTCGCTGAGAGATGTGGCTTGGCTGTCCCTTTGTGCCTTCCACTCCCTTCCTGGAGATCGAGGGCTGTTTTCAGTTCAGTCTGGAGGGCAGCATACTTCCTCGTTGCTTCAGCTAGTTTTTCTGTTGAAACACAAGATTTAGGGATGTTAGGATGAATCATCTGCTGGTAGTAAACGTGATTCAACACTCACCTGAATAAAATGTGTTAATCTTTTTGAGTTCACGATCACAGAACGTGAAGAACACTTCATCAAATGATGCAAAGTGCCTTGAGATCATTTCTGGCTCGACACTCTCTGCAGAGGGTGCCTCCTCCACAGCTGTGTAGAGCATTGCCTTCATCTCCTAGTAAAAAAATAATAAAACGAATGAGACAAATATATTTGCATTTCGAGGATAGTGTGACGAGTTATTTTTATTTGGATTTTCATTTTGAATTCATTGAGAAGATATGAATTTTCTCGCAATTTTGAAATATTACATTAAAATTGTATTAATTTATTTACGAGACAATTTTATACTTCGAAAACAATTTGAAATGTAACGTTATTACGAAATTCTCAGTTTTTTGTAAAAAATATTGATAATTTTCGTAATTTTTCATTCATCCACGTGGAAAAATAAGCATGGATTTGCAATTTTCTAGAAAACCAGAAAATATCATCCATCTAGACTATTTTTTCAATGGAATATTCAATTCCATAAAAAAAAGTCGCATCATGTCATGAAATTACAGAGAAATTTCATATATCCTGAACAATTTGACATGAACACTCAGTGTTCCATCTGAATATAACAAATATTAAAGAAAATGATAAAACGAATGAGACGAAATGTTTGCATTCCCAGTAATTGAGTGTGACGAGAGTTATTTTTGTTTACCTCGTAACTTATGTACTGCTTTCGCCATTCTGGCGTTATGTGGGCTGACAAGTGTTCAGCGAACTTCATTATGCCTTAATAAACCCCAGTGAGTCTCTCAGATATCTGAAGAATCGTGAAAAGTCATCAGAAAATATTCACAACGATAAAACAACGCGAAAGGTGTTAAAAATGATTTCTGAACGATGGAAATGGCCTTGCGTATTATCAACAGTATAATTTTACGACAGAAAATCATAAACACGTGGATTAATATTTTATGGAGACAAAGGAAGAGCTAAATGGAATTTTAAAAAATGGATTGAAATATCACTTACTGTTCAAAACTCCAGAGAGAACCTCGGAGTATCCAGTAGACATTTATATCTCCTCGACTCTCTTTGTCGGCAGTGGAACTCAAATATTCATGATTTTACGAATAAATATTGATAATGATTCGCAAACTATGATCAACAGCTCCACATAAATTATGTACACTGGCCCACTACTTCGAAGAATGATAAAAAAAGGGAACACCCGAGTGCCAGCACAATGTTATCACCAATCTCCACCAATTACTAGTATGGAATCACAAGACTCCACCACGAGTCTTCAATCTTTATCAATCCAATGATATGTCATTTCTCATTAGGCAATTTGATGGAAGCGAACACACAACACATATGATACATTTCACTTTTTTATTCAACAGAGTGGAGTACAATCCACTCTAACCTCGAGTTTTTTACAAGTACTGAACATTCACAACATTTACTCTAGAATAGACAGTACGAATGGAAGATGTGATTTTTCACGTTGTTGAATGATTTATGATATTATTCTCTCGGTTTGAATGTTTATAAACAACAAAAAAAGTCAGTTATTCTCATTCTGACGAAGGGACTGATAATTCCAACCGTGAACATGATAATTCGACACTAGAGGCGCTCTGGAGCGCCTCTAGTGTTGAATTGTTTACGACAATTACAAAAACAATTTCACAAACTCTCAGGAGATTCTCCCGTTTTTTAAATCATGAGCAATACAACAATGATGATTATAAACTAAGAAAAGACGTTAGGTGATAAAGATCCTGGCTTGTAATGTGTTAATTTCCTGATTAACACACGCAGGGGTATGCGGGGCAAAATGGACAATTCAGAATTTTTTTTAAATATTCGTAACTCAGGAATGAATTGCTTAATTGAGCACAGGTTGGGCTCATTACAGAGAGAAAGAAGTATGATCTCAAAGGAAAAAAAATTAAATTTCACCAACAATTGAACGAGGTTTCACCATTTGGAAAAAAAATTTGAAAGTGTTCATTTTGATCCTCATCCCTTACGAATAAGTTAGATATAAAAACCTAGCCAATTTTTGAGAAAATTCTATTGAAAACCTATTGAAACCCACAACGAAGATAATGAAAGTAACTGAAATTTGTCGCTAGAGGCTCTCCAAGCGTAAGACATGTTAAATTAAAAATACTTCAAAAAAATTGCAGAATCAACTGCTCTAAGTCTTTCTTTCTCTTTTTCATTCTAATTATTCTTAAATGTTCATCAATCAATGATGATTCATGCGTATATGGATGAATAAAATATAAATAAAACATGTAGAATATTCTATTCATGGCTGAATATAAAACCGAAAGAAACTACGTTCAGATAACGGCATATTCACAAAACTTCTTATGTTTTTTAATGAAGGGTCTTTTCAAATTCTTGCACTCTACGGAATAATCTTATGACGTCACAAAAAAATCAGTGCAATAAAACTATGCACATCAATATCAATAGAATGCATGAAAAGAGTGCGCGTAAAATGAATACATTCTATGCATGAATCAATTGACACAATTGAAATGCAACATGTATAAAATGTATACGTGGAACAAATGCACTCGATGTGTACATATGCACAGATAAAATATACCGAAAACATGTAACATCTCGTATTTGCGTCGACATATAAAATTGACTTGAACAATTGAGTTGAGAGAGTAAAGAACAGAAAAGTACCGAGCAAAACAGCTTTCTCATTCGGACGAGTGGATTACATCTCATTTTCTGTCAGGCCAATAATTAAAATTGTTTATGATAATCTGATCGGCTCTTTGGTATGGAGATACCCTTCCCCAACTGTCGTTGACATTTTCGCGTGGATCACCTCCATGGGGTTGAAACTGGCCAAAATAGTCGTTACGAGGGATATTCATTGCAGGATTTTGAGCTTGATGATCCCTAATGATGACAACATGACCGGCTCTTTTGGAATATTATTATTATTTTTCTTTATAAAACAATCTCTAGTTCTGCTTCAATGTTTATTATTCCAATAACATGGAGTTTAGGAGTTTACCTAGGTGGAAGCAAAGAAAAACATATTGTATATTTGATTTTTTTTATTGAAAAGAACTAATAAAACCTTCAGTTTTTGCAAGTAATGAACATTTCCCAGTCTTTACAGTACATCGAATACTTTGCTCCAATTATCACCGCATGAGCATCACAGGTGCGTTATAGACATACCCATTTGTACTTTATGATCTATTATATCTGTCTTATGTGATTACGAATTACTACTTAGTGATCTATTTTATAGACATATTTGTCCAACTTAAATATAATAAAGTTATGATTTTTCGGTAACTTTAGTATTACAATGATTGAAATCCACAACCAAGATTATGAAAGTAATTACCATTTATGATTAGAGGTTCTCCAAGCCGCAAAAGTGTAAAATTCAAAATATTTTTACAAAAATAATTGCGGAATCAGCTGCTTCAAGTATTTCTTTCTCTTTTTCATTCTAATTATCTCCAAATTTTCATCAATCAATGATGATTCATGTGTATATGGCTGAGTAAATTCGTGCCTCAATATAAAACTGACAGAAACGATGTTCATATAGTAACATGTTCACAAAACTACTGTCTTTACAGTGCATTGAATACTTTGCTCAAATTATCACCGCATGAGCATCACAGGTGCGTTATAGACATACCCATTTGTACTTTATGATCTATTACATCTGTCTTATGTGATTACGAATTACTACTTAGTGATCTATTTTATAGACATATTTGTCCAACTTAAATATAATAAAGTTATGATTTTTCGGTAACTTTAGTATTACAATGATTGAAATCCACAACCAAGATTATGAAAGTAATTACCATTTATGATTAGAGGTTCTCCAAGCCGCAAAAGTGTAAAATTCAAAATATTTTTACAAAAATAATTGCGGAATCAGCTGCTTCAAGTATTTCTTTCTCTTTTTCATTCTAATTATCTCCAAATTTTCATCAATCATTGATGATTCATGTGTATATGGCTGAGTAAACTATAAACAAAATATAAATGAAACATTTACAATATCCGATTCATGCCTANGCATCTTGTTGATTTCCGTCAATGGGAGCATCAGGGTGAGGGTTTCCGGGGCCTGGATTGTGGGTAAGAGGATTCTCAATGGCGCCTTCAGGGACGATATTCTGGAGAGGACGATCCTCGATGAGAATTTCAGGGCAGACATTCTGAACGTGATCACCATTCGCCATGGGAGAATTATCATGATGTGTGTGGATGTTTCCAGGGGCTGGATTTGGGGGCAGAGGATTTTCAATGGCGGCCTCAGAGCCGACATTCTGGAGAGGATGATCTTCCATCGGATTCTCAGAAAGGATAGTCTGAAGGTGATCAGCATTACCCGTGGAAGAATTATCATGATGTTGGGGAGGATTGTTGGCATGGCGCCTCTTTTGGGGACGGGGATTTCCAGCTGGTAGAGTCTGTGCAGAGAAGTTTTTATTTATAAAATTCCTAGCGTTGGGGGGAATACGACGATTGCCACGATTTTGATTTTTTTTTCGCCAATACTCGATCGATCGCATACGATGTCGCTCTCTCCAGTGGAGTTTCTCTGAAATAAAAGAAAAAACTTTTACTTATGGTATATTGTTTTATATTATAATATTCAATCGATTTACATTTCTTCGTTAATCACACTTGTTAGAATTTCAATTGATTTGCAGCTGCTACTGAAAATGGTAATGAAATAAAACCTAGATTAGAAAAAAAAGGATGAAATGCGATCGATTCAGTAGAAAATGAAAAATTCAAGAAAAACTTTGTCAAATATACTTTTTGGACTTTTCGAATCAAAATGCGTTGATATAACATGAACCATCGCAAACTTAAATTTGAACGATTACAAAGCTTCCGTCAGGAAGCAAAAAGGGGGTAATTAGTTGGCAAGTTATGAGGTGTTGAAGAGAAAAAAAAGATTTACTTACCGGGAACATTCTGGGTTTGACGAAGTGCATCTTGTTGATTTCCGTCAATGGGAGCATCAGGGTGAGGGTTTCCGGGACCTGGATTTTGGGTAAGAGGATTCTCAATGGCGCCTTCAGGGACGATATTCTGGAGAGGACGATCCTCGATGAGAATTTCAGGGCAGACATTCTGAACGTGATCACCATTCGCCATGGGAGAATTATCATGATGTGTGTGGATGTTTCCAGGGGCTGGATTTGGGAGCAGAGGATTTTCAATGGCGGCCTCAGAGCCGACATTCTGGAGAGGATGATCTTCCATCGGATTCTCAGAAAGGATAGTCTGAAGGTGATCAGCATTACCCGTGGAAGAATTATCATGATGTTGGGGAGGATTGTTGGCATGGCGCCTCTTTTGGGGACGGAGATTTCCAGCTGGTGGAGTCTGTGCAGAGATGTTTTTATTTATAACATTCCCNTCTGTCTTATGTGATTACGAATTACTACTTAGTGATCTATTTTATAGACACATTTGTTCAAATGAAATATAATAAAGCTATGATTCTTCGGTACAATTATTATTACAATGATTGAAATTCACAACCAAGTTAATGGAAGTAATTAACATTTACCATTAGAGGTTCTCCAAGCCGCAAAAATGCAAAATTCAAAATATTATTACAAAAATAATTGCCGACTTCAATTCTTTCTTTCTCTTTTTCATTCTAATTATCTTCAAATTATCACCAATCAATGATGATTCATGTGTATATCGCTGAGTAAACTATAAACAAAATACAAATAAAACATTTACAATATCCTATTCGTGCCTAAATATAAAACTGACAGAAACGACGTTTAGATAGTAACATGTTCACAAAACTTCTTGTTTTTGAATGAGGGGTCTTTTTAAATTCTTGCAATATACAATAATATTGACATCACAAGAAACTATGCAATAAAACTATGCACATCAATATCAATGGAATCCGTGAAAAGAGTATGCAGAAAATGAATACATTCCATGTATGAATTAATTGACAAAATTTAAATGCAACATATATAAAAATGTATAAATGAAACGAATGCACTAGATGTGTACATATGAACAGACATATAAAATTGATTTGAAAAACTGCGTTAATTGAGAGAGTAGAGACGAGAACAGACAAGTGGATTGCATCTCATGTTCTGTGATGACAACAATTATAATAAATGGCATAACTGTGTATGACAAAATGGGGTTGGGGCTGGTCAATATAGCCGTTATGAGGGATATTCAGTGAAGGATTTGGAGGTTGCTGATTCCTCATGGGGATTCTCTGGGGAGGGGGATTTGGAGGGAGAACATTACCACCGGGGGGTCTTCGGGGTTGGGGAATTGGGAAGCGACGAACATTTCCAGGTAGGCGATTCGGAGGGGGATGATCCTCAACTGGGCGTCTTCTAGGGAGAGGCATTGGAGGGGGAGGATTGTCGGCATGGCGCCTCTCTTGGGGACGGGGATTTCCAGCTGGTGGAGTCTGTGCAGGGATGTCTTCATTTCTAACATTCCTAGCATTGGAGAGAATACGACGATTGCCACGATTTTGATTTTTCTTTCGCCAATACTCGATCGATCGCATACGATGTCGTTCTCTCCAGTGGAGTTTCTCTGAAACAAGAAACAACTTTTACTTATGGTATATGGTTTTATATTATTATATTCAATTNATTTATAACATTCCCAGCGTTGGGGGGAATACGACGATTGCCACGATTTTGATTTTTTTTTCGCCAATACTCGATCGATCGCATACGATGTCGCTCTCTCCAGTGGAGTTTCTCTGAAATAAAAGAAAAAACTTTTACTTATGGTATATTGTTTTATATTATATTCAATCGATTTACATTTCTTCGTTAATCACACTTGTTAGAATTTCAATTGATTTGCAGCTGCTACTGAAAATGGTAATGAAATAAAACCTAGATTAGAAAAAAAAGGATGAAATGCGATCGATTCAGTAGAAAATGAAAAATTCAAGAAAAACTTTGTCAAATATACTTTTTGGACTTTTCGAATCAAAATGCGTTGATATAACATGAACCATCGCAAACTTAAATTTGAACGATTACAAAGCTTCCGTCAGGAAGCAAAAAGGGGGTAATTAGTTGGCAAGTTATGAGGTGTTGAAGAGAAAAAAAAGATTTACTTACCGGGAACATTCTGGGTTTGACGAAGTGCATCTTGTTGATTTCCGTCAATGGGAGCATCAGGGTGAGGGTTTCCGGGACCTGGATTTTGGGTAAGAGGATTCTCAATGGCGCCTTCAGGGACGATATTCTGGAGAGGACGATCCTCGATGAGAATTTCAGGGCAGACATTCTGAACGTGATCACCATTCGCCATGGGAGAATTATCATGATGTGTGTGGATGTTTCCAGGGGCTGGATTTGGGGGCAGAGGATTTTCAATGGCGGCCTCAGAGCCGACATTCTGGAGAGGATGATCTTCCATCGGATTCTCAGAAAGGATAGTCTGAAGGTGATCAGCATTACCCGTGGAAGAATTATCATGATGTTGGGGAGGATTGTTGGCATGGCGCCTCTTTTGGGGACGGGGATTTCCAGCTGGTGGAGTCTGTGCAGAGATGTTTTTATTTATAACATTCCCAGCGTTGGGGGGAATACGACGATTGCCACGATTTTGATTTTTTTTTCGCCAATACTCGATCGATCGCATACGATGTCGCTCTCTCCAGTGGAGTTTCTCTGAAATAAAAGAAAAAACTTTTACTTATGGTATATTGTTTTATATTATATTCAATCGATTTACATTTCTTCGTTAATCACACTTGTTAGAATTTCAATTGATTTGCAGCTGCTACTGAAAATGGTAATGAAATAAAACCTAGATTAGAGAAAAAAGGATGAAATGCGATCGATTCAGTAGAAAATGAAAAATTCAAGAAAAACTTTGTCAAATATACTTTTTGGACTTTTCGAATCAAAATGCGTTGATATAACATGAACCATCGCAAACTTAAATTTGAACGATTACAAAGCTTCCGTCAGGAAGCAAAAAGGGGGTAATTAGTTGGCAAGTTATGAGGTGTTGAAGAGAAAAAAAAGATTTACTTACCGGGAACATTCTGGGTTTGACGAAGTGCATCTTGTTGATTTCCGTCAATGGGAGCATCAGGGTGAGGGTTTCCGGGACCTGGATTTTGGGTAAGAGGATTCTCAATGGCGCCTTCAGGGACGATATTCTGGAGAGGACGATCCTCGATGAGAATTTCAGGGCAGACATTCTGAACGTGATCACCATTCGCCATGGGAGAATTATCATGATGTGTGTGGATGTTTCCAGGGGCTGGATTTGGGAGCAGAGGATTTTCAATGGCGGCCTCAGAGCCGACATTCTGGAGAGGATGATCTTCCATCGGATTCTCAGAAAGGATAGTCTGAAGGTGATCAGCATTACCCGTGGAAGAATTATCATGATGTTGGGGAGGATTGTTGGCATGGCGCCTCTTTTGGGGACGGGGATTTCCAGCTGGTAGAGTCTGTGCAGAGAAGTTTTTATTTATAAAATTCCTAGCGTTGGGGGGAATACGACGATTGCCACGATTTTGATTTTTTTTTCGCCAATACTCGATCGATCGCATACGATGTCGCTCTCTCCAGTGGAGTTTCTCTGAAATAAAAGAAAAAACTTTTACTTATGGTATATTGTTTTATATTATATTCAATCGATTTACATTTCTTCGTTAATCACACTTGTTAGAATTTCAATTGATTTGCAGCTGCTACTGAAAATGGTAATGAAATAAAACCTAGATTAGAAAAAAAAGGATGAAATGCGATCGATTCAGTAGAAAATGAAAAATTCAAGAAAAACTTTGTCAAATATACTTTTTGGACTTTTCGAATCAAAATGCGTTGATATAACATGAACCATCGCAAACTTAAATTTGAACGATTACAAAGCTTCCGTCAGGAAGCAAAAAGGGGGTAATTAGTTGGCAAGTTATGAGGTGTTGAAGAGAAAAAAAAGATTTACTTACCGGGAACATTCTGGGTTTGACGAAGTGCATCTTGTTGATTTCCGTCAATGGGAGCATCAGGGTGAGGGTTTCCGGGACCTGGATTTTGGGTAAGAGGATTCTCAATGGCGCCTTCAGGGACGATATTCTGGAGAGGACGATCCTCGATGAGAATTTCAGGGCAGACATTCTGAACGTGATCACCATTCGCCATGGGAGAATTATCATGATGTGTGTGGATGTTTCCAGGGGCTGGATTTGGGAGCAGAGGATTTTCAATGGCGGCCTCAGAGCCGACATTCTGGAGAGGATGATCTTCCATCGGATTCTCAGAAAGGATAGTCTGAAGGTGATCAGCATTACCCGTGGAAGAATTATCATGATGTTGGGGAGGATTGTTGGCATGGCGCCTCTTTTGGGGACGGAGATTTCCAGCTGGTGGAGTCTGTGCAGAGATGTTTTTATTTATAACATTCCCAGCGTTGGGGGGAATACGACGATTGCCACGATTTTGATTTTTTTTTCGCCAATACTCGATCGATCGCATACGATGTCGTTCTCTCCAGTGGAGTTTCTCTGAAACAAAAGAAACAACTTTTACTTATGGTATATTGTTTTATATTATTATATTCAATTGATTTACATTTCTTCGTTAATCAGATCTAACATCAGCCATGGAAAACTTAAATTTGAACGATTACAAAGCTTCTATCAGGAAGCAAAAAGAGGGTAATTACTTGGTAATTTACGTGAGGTTGAAGAGAAAAAAAAGATTCACTTACGGGGAAAATTCTCAGCTTGATAAGGAGCAAAATTTCTGTCGTTGGGGGGAATACGGCGCTGGGCCCTGATGGAGACTCTCTCTGAAGCAAAACGAGGTATAGGTACATCCTTATCTGAGAGTTCGACAAGAACGTGCTCATCTTCTTCCTTCTTAATTAAGGGTTCCTCGACTTCCAGTTTTTCAGTTTTCATATTCCCTGTTAAATGGTCAACTGTATCATCTACATTGTTCTGCGAAGTTAGGGATATCCAAGTATCTTTTACAGTTAGGTATTTTCAATCATCAAATTTGTCTACTAAATTGCGTGAGAAGAATTTGAAAAAAAAAATGAATATTTAACGTCATTGAAATTACGTTTGGTACAGAATTATTATTTTTTAAACCTTCGCTGTTTATAAATAAATAATTGAAATTGTTTAAACTTTCGGAAAAAATTTTCTAGGCGTAAAATTCATTTCTGATAAAATTCTGAATATGAATGAATTTGTTAGGATTCCGAACAAAGATTTTTATGGTAGAATATTGAATGTTTATAAGTTATTCATAGAAAGTGCTCGTAATTGCTCGATTTCATAAATCGTCAAGGTGTCTAGAACAGATGCAGATACATCAATAAGCACAAATATGAGGAAATGGAAGGACAATGGGAAGAACAAAGAGCAGTTGTGGAAACACATCTCGAAAAACAAAACTAGACATGCGTTTTGTGAACAATAAGAATACTCTCAATCATAAAAAATACCTTCTTTCTTGATTGTGACCTCCATCTTGTCCGATGAGTTATACTCTAAAGCCTGAACACACAATTGAGAGCGGTTGCATTTACGAACAGTTACCCGAGATACTCCAGAGAGATTTTGGCGGAATAGGTGCGGATTTCTGAGTGGTGCCGCCATATTCTATTAGATTAGCGGGCATGTTTGAATTATTCGATACGATTACTATGGAATTTTCCTCACGTGAATATTGAAAATAAGGTAATATTACCAATAAAAGGACGACTGGGTGATGTTCCACTATATTATTTTATTTCTATTTCTGCTGGCTTTTTGGAATGAAAATAAAAATGGTTCAACTTTACGATATTTAATTGTTTCGAAACATTCGAAAACATTGTTATATGATATTTTCTGGTATTGTCTATTACATTTAACTTTTGATTTAAAAAAAAATTGAATATAATTTTTACTGTAATAGTTTCAATTATTTCGAATATTATTGATTTTTTTTTTATAAAACAATCTCTAGTTCTGCTTCAATTTTTATTATTCCAATGACATGGAGTTCTTAGGAACTAGGTGGAAGCAAAGAAAAACGTATTGTATATTTGATTTTTTTTATTGAAAAGAACTAAATAAAACCTTCAGTTTCTACAAGTAATGAACATTTCCCAGTCTTTACAGTACATCGAATACTTTGCTCAAATTATCACCGCATGAGCATCACAGGTGCGTTAGACATACCCAATTTGTACTTTATGATCTATTATATCTGTCTTATGTGATTACGAATTACTACTTAGTGATCTATCTTATAGACATATTTGTTCAACTTAAATATAATAAAGCTATGATTCTTCGGTACATTTATTATTACAATGATTGAAATTCATAACCAAGTTAATGAAAGTAATTAACATTTACCATTAGAGGTTCTTCAAGCCGCAAAAATGTAAAATTCAAAATATTATTACAAAAATAATTGCGGAATCAACTGCTTCAATTCTTCCTTTCTCTTTTTCATTCTAATTATCTTCAAATTTTCATCAATCAATGATGATTCATGTGTATATGGCTGAGTAAACTATAAATAAAATATAAATAAAACATTTACAATATCCTATTCGTGCCTAAATATAATACTGACAGAAACGATGTTCATATAGTAACATGTTCACAAAACTTCTTGTTTTTTAATGAAGGGTATTTTTGAATTCTTGCAATATACACAATAATCTTGACATCACAAGAAGCTCTGTGCAATAAAACTATGCACATCAATATCAATGGAATCCGTGAAAAGAGTATGCAGAAAATGAATGCATTCCATGTATGAATTAATTGACAAAATTTAAATGCAACATATATAAAAATGTATAAATGAAACGAATACACTAGATGTGTACATATGAACAGACATAAAATTGATTTGAAAAACTGCGTTGAGAGAGTAGAGATGAGAACAGACAAGTGGATTGCATCTCATGTTCTGTCATGACAACAATTATAATAAGTGAAAGGACCGTGTATGACAAAATGGGGTTGGGGCTGGCCAAAATAACCGTTATGAGGGATATTCAGTGAAGGATTTGGAGGTTGCTGATTCCTCATGGGGATTCTCTGGGGAGGGGGATTTGGAGGGAGAAAATTACCACCGGGGGGTCTTCGGGGTTGGGGAATTGGGAAGCGACGAACATTTCCAGGTAGGCGATTCGGAGGGGGATGATTCTCAACTGGGCGTCTTCTAGGGAGATGCATTGGAGGGGGAGGATTGTCGGCATGGCGCCTCCCTTGGAGAAGGGGATTTCCAACCGGTAGAGCCTCTGCAGCCGTTAGTGGTGATCTCCTCTGAGGGAGAAGATTACCACCGGGGGCTCTTCGGGGTTGGGGCATTGGGAAGCGACGAACATTTCCAGGTTGTCGATTTGGAGGGGGATGATTCTCATCTGGGCGTCTTCCAGGGAGAAGCATTGGAGGGGGAGGATTGTTAGCATGGCGCCTCTCTTGGAGAAGGAGATTTCCAGCTGGTGGAGCCTCTGCAGGAATGTCTTCAATTATACAAACTTCAACGTTGGAGATCATACGGCGTTTGGCTTCGGCACTAATTCGGGGTCTATTTCGTCGAAAGGCTTTCAATCGTTCACGACGTCGCTCGGCCCTGGTGGAGACTCTCTCTGAAGCAAATGAAGCAAGTGAGTAATTACTCTTGTCTTTATCGTAGTATAACTTTTTTGCCTAATAAACTAGTCATGTTTTCGAATGGACATTTTGCAAATCATTTTTTTATAGTGTATTGTTTTATATTATTAGATTCAACTGACTGACATTTCTTCGTTAATCAGATCTAATATCAGCCATGGAAAACCTAAATTTGAACGATTACAAAGCTTCTATCAGGAAGCAAAAAGAGGGTAATTAGTTGGTAATTTATGAGGGGTTGAAGAGAAAAAAACGATTCACTTACGGGGAAAATTCTGAGCTTGATGAGGAGTATCCTGTCGATTTCCGTCAGTGGGAGCATTGGTGTCAGCTGGGAGGTCTCCAGGGCGAACATCTTGGATTTGAGGGTTTCCAGAGACTGGGTTCGGTGGGGAAGACTCTTGAAGGGTCAGGTTTTCAGCACCCGAATTCTGTGCGCTCTTACCGGGAACATTCTGAGCTTCATGAATTATATCCAGTTCATTTCCGTCAATGGGAGCATTGGTGTCAGCTGGGAGGTCTCCAGGGCGAGCATCTTGGATTAGAGGGTTTCCAGAGACTGGGTTCGCTGGGGAAGACTCTTGAAG